GAGAGAGAGAGAGAGAGAGAGAGAGAGAGAGAGAGAGAGAGAGAGAGAGAGATCCACCTGCCTCTGCCACTCAAGTCCTGGGATTAAAGAGGTGCGCCACCACCTGGTGAGACAGCAAAATTTTTTTGTCTTCTTAAATTTTTGTTTTGTTTTGTTTTTCGAGACAGGGTTTCTCTGTGTAGCCCTGGCTGTCCTGGAACTCACTCTGTAGACCAGGCTACCCTCGAACTCTCGAACTCAGAAATCCGCCTGCCTCTGCCTCCCGAGTGCTGGGATTAAAGGCGTGCGCCACCACCGCCCGGCGTCTTCTTAAAATTTATTATTCTTTTTCTTCTTCAATTTACATCCCACTCACTGATCCTCACTCCCAGTCACCCATCCCACAATCCTCTATCGCCCCTCCCCTTCTCTTCCGAGGGGCTAGGGGCCGCCCCCCCCCCCCAGATATCCTCCCACCCTGGTACAACAAGAGACAGAATTCTTTTTTATCTTTATCTTTAATCTTTTATTTTTTTTTCAGTCCAGTCATTATTTCCCTCCTGGTCCGTCCTCCAACAATTCCTCATCCCATTCCTCCTCCCCTCGGTCTACAAGAGGATGTCCCCATCCCACTCACCTCGCCCCGCCAGGCTTCCCCACTCCCTGGGGTCTCAAGTCTCTCACTGAGGCCAGACCAAGCAGTCCTCTGCTGTATACGTGAGACACAGAATCCTTAATACTTGTTTTTCTGTCGGTCCTAATTCTGTCATAACCACCCAGCCACCCACACCTCACTGGGGACTGAACCTACTGCCACACCTGTGCTTCATGTGGTCTTCCACTGGGCTCCGTCTCTAGCCTCAGACAGCCCCTATGCCGCACACACTCATAAGCAATGATTCATGCACATCCACACACAGAGAGTAAATAAATGAATGTATTGTGTTTTAAAAGAATGTCTGAAATTATTTTTAATGATTGTACATTATGATGCTTCACGGCAAGGTTTCTAGATTCTACTAAGATTGCAGCCATTATTTGGCAATCTCCAGCTGTAAATAAATTCTTGTAAATTCCACGCCAGGAAAGGACTGTTTCTGTATTCCGCTTTCACAGTGTAACCTTAAATGTGGACTCCAAATCAAACTGACCAGCTGTATATGGCTTCTACCTTAAATCTCAGGCTCCTACCAGTTCAAACAAACCATGGGGTTGGGGGGAGAGCGATACGAGGACCAAATTATCTCAGGTATTCTTCATTGGAGACACATCAGAATCACAGGAGTCTTACATTTTAATATATATAATACTTTTCTTGCTTGCACGCTAGAGTGAGGCATGGCCTTATGTAATAGGGAACCCGACTTGTATGGTTCCTGAAGAACCTAGGGGAAGAGTTTTTATAGAGAGCCATCCAAGGCACACAGGACAGCTAAGGATTCATTCTTCTCCCCTAGAGTATTCCCATCCCTCTCATCACCCAGTCCTGGATGGCCTCATACACCCTTATCACTCTCCCCTCTTTTCACCCAGACACCCCCAAATACCATGGGCGGGCCTAAGCAGAAGCCCCGCCCCAATATCAGGCCCCGCCTCCCTCGGCCGGATAGCCCCACCCCTCTACGGGGATTGCGGGGCGCTGGGCTAGGGGCGGAGCGGCGGGATGCGGGGCGGGAAGCGGGGCGGGGGCGGACCTGGGCCAGGCGCCCGGAGGGGCGGAGTTGCGGCGCCGCCTTTCGCCACAGCTCGCGGCAAGGGTGACTCGGGGGCGGGGGAGCAGGCGACACAGCCGCAAGGGTCTTGGGGCCCTGCAAAATCGTGGGCAGCTGAGCCAGGCAGTCAGCGGAGGAACATGGCGCCCTGGACACTCTGGCGCTGCTGCCAACGCGTGGTGGGCTGGGTTCCGGTGCTCTTCATCACCTTTGTGGTCGTCTGGTCCTACTACGCGTACGTGGTGGAGCTGTGCGTGAGTGAGTACAGGAGGCGCGGGCGGCGGGCCGGCCGCGGGTGGCAGGCCGAGGCCGCGCGCCGCGTTCTTATCCCGCGGGGCAGCCTGCGCTTCTCCAGCCGGTGGGCTCCGTGGCCGAGGGTTCCGGCCCGCGGGTCCCCGGCGGTGAGGCCTCTGTCCGTGGGTTCCTGCCCGCGGCTCGCTGCTCTTGGGGTCCCGAGTTCGGGCCTGCGCGTCGCCCACGTTCCGAGCTTCCGGGTGGCTGCCGTCGCCTTGGGGCTCCCACCCTTCTGTGACGAATGCTCACAAAGGCCCTTCCTTTTGAACTAGAGAAATCCCCCTTCAGAGACGGCTTGTGAGGTCGATTTGGCTTAAACATACACACACGCACAAAGAAATCTTTTCCTCCCAGATTGTTGCTCTCCAGACTGCGCGAGAAGAAGCGCGTAAGCTGAAGAGCAGCCTCCGGGGCCTGGGAGGGAGGTGTGTCTCCGAGGTCTGCAGTGAGGGCTCAGCCCCAGGGACACAGAACGCCAGCCTCTGGTTTGGGCAGTATTTGACCCTTTTTAATAGTCATCTGGGGGAATCAATGCTGGACTTACACAAAATATTGTTTTGAAGCACAAAAAATTGAACGAGAGGTGCAAACTCAATTACTTTTTTTTTTTTTTTTGCTGTTTATCTTGTAGGTTTGTATTGTTTATACCTTTAGTTTTAGGGCTTTGGTTTATTTTTATTTTTGCTGTTTCTCTTATTATTATTATTTTTTACCATATAGTCCTTACCTGATTTCCTGGGATAAAGGAGTAACATCGCATTATACTTAAATGACTTAGCCTATTGGTTCAGATTTAATGTGGAAGGAAACTCCTTGTCATCAAAACACCCTAGGCCATTACTGTGTCAGTGATACTGAATAATTGCGTGTAAGCTTTGAGTGTGTGTTTTATACCGACTGGCCTTTTCCTGTGTTTGTCTCCCGTCAGCATTATTAAATAAAGCCCTTAAGAAAAAGCAGCCCCTTGGTTTCCCAAAAATGATTTAGTTTTAATTTTCAGACAGAGCCCTCGGTTATCTGAAGGACAGATATTCTTCGGGGAAAGCATATGGGGTTAATACAAGGATGGAAAAAAAAAAGATCACTCAAAAATGGAAGAGTCCAGACCTAAATTGTGGCTCTGGATTTGGCCAGCTCTGAAACAAGTACTTGTTTACAACTCAGGTTCTGTTTCAGATCTCTCAAGTTTTCGGCAGGTTTTTAAATGACAGCATCCTTAAGAAAATTAATTTGCTGCTTAGAACATTTGATATAGAAGAAACAGTGTACACCTGCCATCTTACACTTGGGAGGCTGAGGTCCAGGCTAGCCTGAGCTTCATAGTGAAGCTCTGTCTCAGAATAAAACGGCTGGGGAGCACTAGGGAGACAGAGGCAGGCATATATCTGTTGAGTTTGAGGCCAGCCTCGTATACATGAGTTCCAGGACAAACAGCTATGTAGAGAGACCCCAAAGTAGTGTGTGTGCGTGTGTGTGTGTGTTGTACAAGGGTGCACACGGGCCAAGGCTCACTTGTGGAGGTCGGAGGACAACTTTGTGAAGTCAGTTTCGTCCTTCCTTCCACCGTTATGTAGGTTCCTGAGTCTGAACTCAACTCATCAGGCCTGCATGCCAGTTGCTTTACCTGCTGAGCCCTGTCAGTGGCCCAAACAGAACAGTATTTTTTTAGAACAGTTATCTCTACAGTTAGGTTCTGAGTGGTTCTGAGTAAATTAATTATGGAATACCTTTCCAAATAGTAAATTTGTTGCATGTAATGATTTAGATTCCTCTTTTTGAATACCAAAATGTTTGCTAAAATTGTTAAATTAGAATTGACTGTGTAATTTTTTTTAATTGTTTTAATTTTGATACAGGGTCTCTCAAGTGTAGCCCTGGCTGTCCTGGAACTTGCTTTATAGACCAGGCTGGCCTCAAACTCAAGAAATTCGCTTGCTTCTGTTGGGATCAAGGGCATGCCCCCCCCCCCACCTCTCATACTCCTCCCCCTTGTAGTTTTGAAATTAAAGTTCCCGAAGGAACATTAAACATCTGAATTAGGTTCAGATTGCACAGCTTAACTTGAAAACAGTTTTAATTCAAAAATACCCACAGTGAGATTAAAAAGTCCAGTAAATTTTTATTGTGTCAATGTCTTTCATTTTTACATTTCCTACATGTTTGTGTGTGTGCATATCTGTGGAGTCAGACTTCTGGGAGTTGGTTCTTGGTTTCTGCTCTGGGTTGGGAGTGGTTGGACTCAGGTCATCAGGCTTGGCAGTAAGCCCCTTGACCCACTGTGTGTCTACAAATAAGCGGAAAGGAGTGTGAATAGAGGACGGCTGTGTGTCAGTGGGCATAGAGGGAGCGCTTCCGTTACCCTCCTCTTTCTCTCAGTGTCCCAAAACAGGTCTTTCTACACATGTAGGAAGTGAGACTCTGAGCCATGTAGAAGGACATTACTGAGCACAGAATTGACTAGGAAGTGATTCAACTAAGCTTCAAAAATCAGATCATGATAGAGAAGAACCAGAAATAATATTTGGTTTAAGTTTTAGATTGGAATTCCTCTTTAATTTTTTTTCCTTTCTAAAGCTAATATTTGAGAATTAGACATGATTTTGTTTGCTTCCTTTCCATGCTGGAGTTCAAACCCAGAGCCTTCCATGTGCTAGGTAGGCACTCTACTACTGAGGACATCCCTAGCTAATGTGGCTCTTTTCTCAGGTTTCCAGCATTTATCAGAACACTTCTGTAAGTCATTTTAAGCTGTAGGAGTAGACATGTATATGTTCTTGAGCAGGTAGACAATAGAATTTAGAAGTTGAGATTTTAGAGATGATATAATGTAGCCCTTTGATTTCACTTCTAAGAAAACTTTTACAAGAGCTTTGTGGCTTCTCCAAGGAGGGAGCAAACTTCAAGTAGAGGTCTAGGAAGAGGGACTGTAATAATTTCTGAGCTTTTTTTTTTTTTTTTTGGTTTTTCGAGACAGGGTTTCTCTGTGTAGCCCTGGCTGTCCTGGAACTCACTCTGTAGACCAGGCTACCCTCGAACTCTCGAACTCAGAAATCGGCCTGCCTTAAAGGCGTGCGCCACCACCGCCCTGCAATTTCTGAGCTTATATCTGTCTTTCACAGCATCTCCACATTTACAATGAGGTAAGATAAGATAACTATCCCAGGGCTCGGGAGATGGCCCAGGAGTTAAGAGCACTTGCTGTTCTTGTAGAGGACCTGGGTTTGGTTTAATTTTGTTACCTTTTGACCCAGGCTCACTATGTTGTCCAGGTTGGCCTGGAACTCACAGAGATCCTCCACAGTGCTGTCATTAAAGGTGTGCACCAGTTTAGTGTTTTTGTTTTTAAAGTGGAATTTTTCTCTTCTTTGGTTTTTGTTTTTTGTAAGTACAGGAACACTTTTCACTCAGTTTTCATAGTTTTTTTTCTCAGCTAGGTTTTTTTTGAAGATTATATTGCAAAAATGTGCCAGTTTTATTATTAAACTGCAGGTAGTGTCAGGATTATATATGCTGTCTAAGAGAAGGAGCCCGCACATCATCATGATGTGCAGTTTAAAGATGGTAACACTTCATGCTCTTCCTGTAAACCTGGAAGCAGTGTAGACTTAGGTGCTCCTGAGCAGAGGAGCACCACCGACTTTTCCATATTGAAGTAAGAGGTCAAGAATAACAGTGACTACATTTCAGGATAGATTTCTCTAAGGTAGAAAGTCAGATCTTGAAAGTTAACATTTTAAAACAAAAAAGAATTTTGTAGTGGTTGGCCTTTTTAAACATGTATTTTGATACAGGGGCCTGATTTGTAGACCAGGGTGGCCTCACACTCACTGTAGCCCCCCCCCCCCCGCCAACTTCCTCCTAAGTGCTGGTATTTTAGGCTTGTGTCCCCATGCTGAGCCTGTATTTTGATTTTTCAAGGAATAGCTGATATATTTCAAGTATTTTAAAACTATTGTTGACTATGCTGAGTAGTTTTATGTCAACTTGACACAGCTGAGAGAAGGGAACCCTAATTAAGATGCCTCCAGAAGATCCTGCTTTAGGCAAGCTTGCAGGGCATTTTCTTAATTAGTGACTGATAGAGGAGGGCCCAGCCCCTTGTGGGTGGTGCCATCCCTGGGCTGGCGGTCCTGGTTCTATAAGAAAGCAGGCTGAGGCAAGCCTTGAGGAGCAAGACAGTCAGGCGGTGGTGGTGCACGCCTTTAATCCCAGCACTCGGGAGGCAGAGGCAGGCGGATTTCTGAGTTCGAGGCCAGCCTGGTCTACAGAGTGAGTGCCAGGACAGCCAGGGCTATACAGAGAAACCCTGTCTCGAAAACCAAAAAAAAAAAAAAAAGAGAGAGAGAGAGAGAGAGAGAGAGAGAGAGAGAGGAGCAAGACAATAAGCATCATTCCTTCATGGCATGTGTATTAGCTCATGCATCCAGGCTACTGCCCTGTTTGAGTTTTAGTCCTGACTTTCTTCAGTGATGGATTATGATGTAGAAATGTATGTCAGATAAACCCTTTCCTCCCTAAGTTACTTTTGGTCATGGTATTTTGGCACAGCAACAGAAACCTTAAGTAAGACAATGAGCATAACAAATATCATATATTCATACTTTTTGTTGTTTTTGCTTGAGGCAGGTTCTCACCATCTAGCTCTGGCTAGCTTAGAAGTCTTTAGACCAGGCTGGTCTTTAATTGACAAGAGATCCACCTGTCTTTACCTCATCAAGGTGCTAATGTCAAAGATGCATAGGAGTCTTTCATATCTTGCCCTTATACAATTCCTTTGCCAGCCCCCAGGGAGCTAGGTTGCATCTTTTAAAGTCAGTATCAAGCTTATTAAGTCTCTGCCTCACAGTCTCCAATAGTTTTCCAGTTTGCTCAGCGAGTTCAGCTGTTTGCATGGCCTATCACCCTGACTTTGTTTTTTTATGCTTCAAATAAATAGTCTACCTGTCAGCCCAGGCACAGTCATC